TGCAAAGTTAGACAAATAACCAAAATAAAATCTTCGGCATATAATACAACAAGATAAATAGGCAAGATTTTTTTTAAAGCGCATTCAAATGCCCTCCAGTAAACAGAATTAGGATCGGTGTTATGAAAGTAACCTAACACGTGTAATATTGGGGTCACGACCCTGCATTGTCATTAATTGTAGGATTTCCCCCTAAACCCTGCAAAGGTCACATGTAATACTGCTTGACCCGACTATAATACACATTAAAGCTGAGGCCCCACAGTGGTGTTATTTATGGAGAATAATCTAACTAATGGAATAGAGAAGCTCAAACCCCCACAGTGTTATAAATGACAGAACTTAGCCCAGCTAATATAAATATTAAGGCCAAGACCCTACAGCAATGTTAATTATTGAGATTAATCTGACTAATTACCAGTAAGTCACACAAATATACATGAAAACCCAACAAACCCAAGGATTCCTTGGATCCTCTATGAGCAATCTTTTTCTTATTTATTTTGTTTTGTGGACTGATGATTGGGTTTTGTTTGGCTACAGAGGTATACTTGTGCTACTGCAACTTCTGTCCGACAGATATCTGCCATTTCCTGCATTATATTTTTCAAATAGATGTGTTTTCCTAGGAGAGGTTTATGGATGAATAAAAATACATTCCCTTTGAGAATGACCTTTAACAGATGTAATTACAAAAGCAGGTTCAGTAAATAACTAAATTCTCTGCGCTGAACAGAAATCAGACCCAATCTAGAAAGTCAATGTGAGGTAGCAAAAAATATACACAATAAAACAGCAAAGGCTCAACATGTGCAAGTTAAAATCACTCGGCCACATCCAGTATCAGCAGAAAGCAGGTTCAAAGCTGGAGCTCATATCATATCACTGCCTGTAAACCACTGTGGCAGTTTAAACAGTGAAATCTGTCTGTCAGCGGTACGGCTGCTACATCCAGCTGTCGACCAACACCTGCAGCCACGTTACACAGGTGTTCACGTGTTTGCACAGGTGTTGAAGGTAAAAACGGAGCGCACACCGACGTAAAGACACTCTTCCACAGATTTCTTCATTGTTTTAAGCTTGGAATAAGCCCGAATAAACACAATCGGAGTCAATGAGACAATCGGAGCGAGACAGCTGCAAGAGATCAGGACAAAGAGGAAACACAGATGGAAATAGAAACCGAATTAAAGGGAGTTAAAATGTAAAGCGGGAGGAAACCGGGTTATTATACACATTAGGGCACATCAGCTGGCACGGCAAGGCTGTGAAATGTAATGTGCGCACTCGTTGAACCGAAACTGGAGAGAAAAACAACCTGAGCCATCCATAATATTTGCTAACAGGCAGAAGGTACGCCACGGTGGGACTAATGTCAATACGAGAGGTGCACGACAAACACATGTACGCAGAGAGATAGAAGGGTGGGCCTTTGTGTAAATGGAACACCAAAAACACTGAAATCTAGGTTATCTGCTATTTCGCCCTTCATTGAATTCATTGGAGATAAAGTGAAGGAAGTAAGTGGCTGATTTAGCAAAGTGGGGAAAAGCATGAGCGAAGGCCAAAACCTTCACACAGTCACAGGACGCTGACACAAACAGACATTTACAACCCGTTTTATTCGTTGCAAGAGATGGAATTTGTAGCCAGAACATGTAATTAAGCAGATGCGGGTTCTGTCCTCGTGTTTCTTACCAGGTTTGATGCAGACGCCTCAGCAAATGACAGTCCTCTGGGGATGATGAGGATGTGGTCTTGCTCTTTACTGACTCTGCCCTGGGAAGAGAAAAGGTCAAAAACTGAGAGACAAAACTGACTCAAAACTTGAAAATCCTTTAAAAAAAATAAAATGAATAATAATCCGGAGCCTGTTAATGAATTGCAGAAGAAAAATGATGAGTTTAAATCTGTTTACGAAGAACCAAACAATTCTACGTCCAACTAGTGCCCATTGAGCATCTTGAAAACATGATACAACAAACTGTGGAATTTTGGAAGGCTCAGTTTTTACACATTTTTCACATTGGACAGCGACATAGCAAAATCGTGCAGTAGATACTAAATAGGAGAATTGTTCAATTAATTTATCGCTCTCGCTTTAGCGTCTTACTGTAATGTAGGAGCTGGCGAAGTGCGCCCAGCTGAACAGGTCCACCAGTCTGTAGAGGCTGGCCAGTTTACAGCGCGTCAGCTTCTCGCCTTTCACCAACGTGGTCGATTCCACTCCGTACATGTCGTTGATGGGTGTGACCATCCCCAGACCTGAAAGATTGCGGATGATTAGAGTTTAAAAAAAAATAAAATAAAAAATCAACAGGATACACGTTAAAAAAAATGCAGATCGGGTGGGATTAATTACATCAGTGGCAGTCACTCAGGAGCAGCACACATCTGCAGCCAACATCTGGGTTTTTATCTAATGATGTATGTGACACATCTGACTGGCCGTCAGAATCGGAATGTACACGGCGAGGTGATGCAAACAACACTCCATCCTTTAATACTTTGTTTTAATGACAGCACCTTCTAGGACGTATATTTTGCAGGAGGAGCTAAATAGACCTGCTATTTTGTCTTTGACATGTAATTCAGCATTAGTTGTGCATTCCAGCGCAGTGATTGGAAGCAGACTTCACATATGGAGTCTTGGACACAACTCACAAAGGATCAAAACCCAGTGAAATATGCAAGGCTCTTCCGGAGTCTGGGCTTCGGTTGTCTAAGAGTATTTATGCCCTTAAGCACAAAAAGCTCGTGTTTGGGTATGGATCTCCTGTCTGCCAATACTGACTATGTGCTTTTTTTTTTTGTTTGTTTTTAGGTGCAGTTCAAAAGCGGTAGCACCGTGGGCGAGGGTGGCATGTTCTGCTGATTGTTAGTGTCTGGGGTAACAGCGAGTACTCACTGAGGGGGGAGGTGTTGAAGCCAGCCACTGAGCTGGCCATGAAGAAGTCTGCGATCTGCCTGAGGGCCAGCAGGCCGGTGGGGTTGTTGCCTTTCCGCTGCTGTTCCTGGATCAGACTCTCCAACTCCTCCTTGAAAGCCTGACAGAAAGGGAAAAAGAGAGGAAAAGTTGAGAGAGGGAATAATCTGAAGTTGAGATGACGCAATGTGTCAAAAAACACAAATGCAACCCTAAGATTTCTGTGAAGTAACAGCTTTTTAGTGCATGTTATCCAGCCTGCAAATGGAAAACATCTCCTGACAAAAATGTGTACGCTTATACATCCCTATGTATGAGAATGAAGCATCAGAGTGCTTTTATTTGAGCTCAAGATAGGACGCTTCAATCGGTTGTTATCCAGCTTAAACAGGAAAGACAATGTGTTCATTAGCGAAATTACAAAAAGTAAAAGGCAGGGAGTAAAGACAGGGAGATCAAGAGAGACATGTTAATCACAGATTAGACATCCTTCTTGGGTGTCAATCTAAATCGTCCTACTGTAAAAACGCTCTATGAAGCTGGATTTGGATTGGTTCGCTGCACAACAAGCTGCGCTGTGATTGGTTGTCTGACCAGCTCACAGCTCGTGTTACTATTGGCAGCTCGATGTGACTGGGAGAGAGAGAGAGAGAGATTGTGTGTGTGTGTCACTAATCCTCATGTCCAGACTACAGTCATCTGCTGAATACACACACACACACACACACACACACACACACACACACACACACACACACACACACACACATACAGTAAATGCTAACACAAGCTCTTATGCAAGACCACAATAACACACAGCTGGCTGGCTGACATCACGTACAGTACTGGGTGATTTTACGATTTTCCTTCAAAGCGAATGTTCCTCGTAATGCATCAGCTCATAAATCAAGGGGTCAAACAGCAATCACAAGACTTGCTGTCTGTATGAAGATCATAACAGAAGGCGTCCAGTCTGAAATGTGATGTTTCAACTGCACATGTGCTGTATTCATGCTGACGCATTCGGTCGCAGGTTGCAGGGGGGGAGCAGCAGACGAGATAATACTGTATGGATATCTCCTGATAATCTTAATAAGGTTGTTAACCTCTCAGGGGACACACTCACCCAGTTCTACCTGCTAATGTAATTAAAGCTATGACCAGTGCAAAGGATTTTCAAGATGCCGACCCCAACAGACACAGACTATATACCTACTGTATACAGTACATAGCAGGTGAAGCGAATGACATTGATCGTCTTGTTTACAAAGCTCTGTAACCTTGGATCCTGGTATTCATGTAGATGTTACCCTGCACACCCCTTTGACAACGCTACACCACAAAAACTGCTCGAGGAAGGCTAGAAAAAAATGACAAAGAGCTCAAGTCTTTGACTAAGCCTCCAAATTCCTCATATCTCAATCTGACTTGAGCGTCCATGGAATGATTGGGACCAAACCTGACCCACTGAGGACCCGCCCCACAACAAGGGGAACTTGCACAATATTAGACAGGTGGTTTTAATGTCACAGTTCCGCAGTCTGAAAGTTGGAGCAGTGTTGATTTGATCTCACATTGGAAAGAAATGTGTCTTCATTTGTGTCATTTGCACTGAACCTTGTAGCAAACCAGTTTGGTAGCGCCTATCAATATTCACCCAGTAATTATAGTATGGCTTGGTCTTTATAACCAGTCAAATGACAGCAGCATGAAGCAGGAGTGTTTTTGAAGTTTATCTACCGTATGCAGTGATTTTTAAGTACTTTTTTTTTCTCTACATGGCCACAATATGAGAGCTTTACTTTAGAATGAAGAGCAGACATGCCCTGGCTCAATAAGTCTCCCTCACTTTGGCAGATATTACAGTGAACCAGCACCTTGTTCTGACTTAGTCACCGACAGCACTTTTCTCACATCTTTTTTTGTCATTTAATTTTTTATTTGTGGTCTGCACACATATTTGACAATGACTTCCTTCTTCTTTCAGCCATTGTTGAAAGGTGACTCAATTTTCTATGATCATTTATGACTTCCGCCTTTATATCTTTATTATTAACTAAACAAACGAGGCAGTGAACACAACTGTCTGGTCCACCTCAGACCTGCTCTTGGCTCAAACTCAGCTTGCCTTATCAGAAAGTATTGTAAAGTGCTGGAAACCTTTGGCAATTTCAGCGCGGTGCCAGAGTGAAAATAGGCCATGGCATTGTTTCCATGCGATGGCAACTCAAAGCAGGTCAATGTCTAATATTCATGCCTCTTTTTTTTTTCCATCTCAGTGTTTATGCAGCCAACAACACATTCCTCATGGAGCTGCATCTGTGCACAAAGACATCTCTGACACTTAGCTTCCCCTTTTCTCTGCTCCCCACACATCTCTCGAGTCACCCTACGGGACGGATCCATTAGCGCTACGCAAATGGAGTCGGGTCTTTGGTTTTATGCCCATGTGGGGCTGTTTTGTTAAAACTGGAGCCAGTGTCAGGACACATGCAGTCCCGGAGCACTGCTGGTTCTGAACCCCGGCCAGACATTCCTCCATCCTTGGTGGTGTGGTTGCTGTGGCAACTCGTCTGTGGCGGATGTCTGACAGTGGTGGGTCAGGGCTTTGTTGTTTGAAGTTGTTGTTGTTGTTCTGGGTATCGGTTCGGAGACTGTTGTGCCATCAAACTGACATTATAGCCGCATTGCTAAAGGCACAGCTCACTGGAGCCAGAGCACGGACGCCGTTCACTCAGGCAGATTCTGTGTTCCTGACTCGGCTAGAAAAGTCTTTGTTTTCAGTCTGTGCTGGAGAGTTCTCACAAGCTTCATACTGTCAGCTAACTCGACACTGGTTGCTGTAACAAACTGAGGATATAACGCACAGAAATCCTGTAATTTAATACTATTAAACCTGCACAAATTCATTTGAGAGCAGCAGTAAAAGCTATGACACTGGCATTTTGTCAGTGTTTTAGTTGACATGGCTAAAGTTTATTTCCTACAAGTGCATTAGGGTCTCCTAGGGGCTGGGTAGTTTGACTCACTGGACGTAGAGTGCAGATATAAGCTTGCCATTAGCTGTGCATTTCACACGCCTATCTCCTCTCCTTCCACTATCTACATTTTACCACTTTTAAAATGCCTCTTCTGTTTGGGAAACAACAACAACCTCTGACCAGCACACCACATGATGAAAGTTTTGCTGAAGGTTTAGATCATGAAGTAAGACACCACTACTACTACACTTCTGTGAATCATCCATTTTAAAGGCAGAGCTCCATGCATGCAAATGCTCCACCAAAACAACTTAACTCTCATTGTTTTAAGTGAACACGATTGGTGCATCCTGTTCTTAGCTCTGCCTAATACAACTGTAACAGATTTAAAGAAAAACAAACAACTGTTTTCGTACGATAGAAAAATGTTGATGAGGTGCAGCCAGACCATTCTACACAGCGCTGTGTCTGTGCTAGAAAATGGTCTGGCGATGGCCCAAGTGATGCAAATTTCACCATCTGCCCAAGTACCACATCAACATGTACCCTAAAGGTTGGGTCCGTGCCATGACTGCGACACAAGGAAAGTCATGTGCATGCATGAAATACATAGAGGTCAATCTACTGTGCATGTATGAAACATGTGCTCCAAGGAGACCAGAAACTCATATAAATAACAAGTACACATCCAAGTTGTCCTCGTGCATGTTCACAAGGACGTGGAATCAAGACTAAACCTGAAGGCAAACAGTTGTCTATTGAAGTACCCAGCAGATACAAAACAACATTAAGAGTTATGCTTAATGCTGTTACTTTTCTTTTTGACACTGTTTTTGGACTTCACTACATGCAAAGAGAAATATCTGGCTCTTTAGCAGCTGAATGCTCCACTATATTTAGCTACAAAACAGCTGCCTGCAGCGGTGAGACTGAATCAAAACAGTAAAGTTGCAGTTGGCAAGTCAAATTTTAAACACGAGCAAAAGGGTGTTGAAAAGCACCATGGAGCTGAAGGAAATTATAGTGTGTGGAGATGATTCTCCAATGGGGTCATTCCTTAAACAGCAACCCTCTGTTGATTCTAGTTGCTTTAAATTTGCTCTGTGTTTTCTGCAATTGGCCACACATACAGAGTTAAATACATCACTTTCAGAGAGCAAATTTGGACACTGAATCTGCAGCATTTTTGGGTGAAACCTACTAACAAAGCACATGAGCATAACAACACACAAATCAAGAAACACACACACACACACACACACACACATGCACAAGCAGGCATCTGCTCTACAATTTGTGTATGTGCATTCCCAAGAAGATTATGACAGCAGGGATTTGATTCCCATCATCTAAACAGATTAATCCAGGGACCTAAAGTGGATCGTATCATTAATATTTCAGCAAAACCCCCCACATCTGCAGCAACAAAAATAACATCACATGTCGAGTGTGTTTTTTAGCTGCTGGGGCCTGACTGCTCGCCCTTTAATCACAACTTTCACTTCGATCCAAAGAGAGAAAATCAGATGACCCCAAAAAAAATTGGTTACGTCACTACAGTTACAGCGCCTTCGCACCTGGAGTGGAAAATAACACAAAGATCCATCGTCTACACTGCCAGTAAAATCACTGACAGACAACCAGACGAAGCAGGTCTTTTCACTTACTGCAGGAAAAAAAATGTGATCCAATCAGAGCAATGAGGAAGGGTTTCCGTGACTGCTCCGAAATGGCAAAAGCTAATCTTTCAAAATGGAACTGTGGCGGTCTTGAGGGGTATTAAGTCGACATGCAGATTGGAGCTTGGCCAGCCCCACTGTGGAAGAGTGGAGAGCACCTACTTACAGAAAATAACAAAGTTGATTTTAAGAGATCAAACGTCAGTCCGCCTGAGGCACAACACATAAAAAGGTGTTTCAAACCTTTGTACTTCAGTTTTTATTACTTTACTTACTTGATATTGTCTTTGGATCGCTTCCACGGGACAATCCTGCTAATCTGAAGACAAGCTGGACTGTCAGGATTCATGCCTTATTAAAGGACATTACATCACGGCAGATGCTTCCTGATGCAAGTATTTTATCACCATTTTACCGTTTGGTGAACAAAAGTACATTTTCAGAAGCATCTTTTAGATAAT